CTGTGCTGGGGGAGGAGGTCTTTTGCTCCGCCCCTTGGCGTCTCTATAAAAACCCTGGACCAGAGACAGTCCGGGCCCATTGGAATAGGTTCCAGGCCCTCTCGAGGCTATCTTTTATTTTCTATCTGTTTATCTCCACAAGATTCTCCGCTATAAATCCTTCTATCTAATATTTCCTGCTGATTGCACTCAAGAAAACTCTGGGAAACTGTGGGGGTGGTGGGTAAATGCCCCACACTTGTCTGGGTCTACTTTCTGGAACTTCACACAGTAGTAGGTACCAGCATCTGCAGGTGTGACATTACTGATGCGGATGGAAAAGTCCAGGTTGTTTCTCTTTGTAGTATCTGTAACATTTGTGACTCTGGGGAATCGCTCTCCAGTGAAACTGTATATTAGGTGCCGACTCTCCCCTGTACCCCTGAACCACTTCGAGGGCCCCACAGGGAGCAAGGAGGTCACAGTGCAGTTCAGAGTGGCTGAGGCTCCAGCAGAGACAGAAACTGATTTCTCAGGCTGGATCACCTTCAGCTCCTTCTGTGTATCTGCTCCTGCAGGAAACATCAGTCAGTGCTCATCATGATGGGAATCCACACGCTTTTCAAGTTTGTGATCAAACACTGTTTCTTAGTAAAGCTCAGCATGATGTGATCACAGTTCTCCTCTCTTAGGCCTCTTAACAAGAGAATGTAACAGACAAAAAAACTGAATCACAGAGACACTAAGAACTTGGCAGTATTCTGATTGAAGCCCCAATTCTTTTTGGAATTCTCATGTTTTGTCCAGTATTTGTTTGGTTCTCATTTTCTGTGCACATGGCATATGGCACTTCTTAAATAATAGTATTGGATGTGATTCCCTGACTATTTTAGAACAGTGAGATGTGAACTTAGTGCTTTGTATAATTAATGAGATGTTCATTTTATTACAAGCTTCTTTGGGTCAGGCCCCCAGTTCTCGATATGGTTGCTTTATCAGGTGGAGTGATAATGCCATAGATAGGTCCCAATATGCAATAATATGCACCTTAATTAGGGAAATAAAACCTTGGCTTAAATTACCAGTTTTTAAAATATATTATAATAATTACATTAATTAACTAATTGATTATATGTGTGTGGGTATCTTGCTTCTGTGTATGCCTGGTGTTGCTTTATCAGGTGGAGTTATATGACATAGATATTTCCCAATATGCAATAATATACACCTTAATTAGAGAAATAAAATCTCAGTTTGTTACCAGTTTTTAAAATATGTATTATAATCACATTAATTAGTTAATTAATTTTATATGTGTGAGTATTTTGCTTCTATGTGTGTCTGCGCACCAAATGCATGCCTACTGGTCAAAAAAACTAGAAGAAGGTTTCAGAGTCCTTGGAAGTAAAGTTATATATAATTATAAGTCTTGATGTGGGGGCTCAGAATTGAACCTGGGTCCTGTGGAGGAGTAGCAAGTGGTCTTAATCCCTGAACCATCTCTCCAACTCAGAATTATAGCAACTTTAAGAATGATGTAATAGCAGTGAGGCTACCTGGAAAACGGGACCCCAAAAAAAGACACGGAGAAATGGAC